GAACCATGATTTATAATTTTTTTTAAATTGTAGCGAGCAAAAAGCTTATTGTATTAACAATTTTGTCTAGTTGATTGGATTATGTGATTATCTAAATTGTTTGAGACACTTAGATGTTGATATGTAAGAATAATTTGTTTTACCATCATGTACTCCATGAAGTTCATATTATTATTATTTTTTGAAACCCAAAAAGCTACTGTAAACATTTACGTGCCAAAAATTAGAGACTGTGACGAGCCAAACCTCCAATTAAGCTGGATTCTGTAATTTATTAATTATCAAATAAGGCCACGTGTGTAAGTAATATATTGGGCAATTTTCATTTATACACAGCGTTTCTTAATTTATTGTAAGATTACCAAAGAGATTAATTTATTTGCAAGTTTACCTAATGCATAGAAATTAATTGAGAAAATACCTAATTTCGGTTACCTCAACAAATAGAGATCAATGTCCTTAAATGTCGCGTTTTGTTAGTCAACCGTTATTTTTGCACAGATAAGATATGTACTCAGCCGTTATCGATTTGATGTTTATATATATATATATATATGTATATATATTGGGTTTACATACAGAACATATACCGAGCATATACAGAACATATACTAAAAAATAACATCAGATCCAGGCGAACATATACTGGACATGTGTATACCGAACATATACAGAACATATACTGAAAATAACTCAAGGTCCAGGTGTCGAGTTGTTTATAAATCTCATGAATTTCATTCCAAAACCATGAATATTTAATCCTTTTGCAATGTGGAAAAAAACAGAGAGAGGGAGAGAGAAGGGAGAAGAAGAGATGAGGGGGAGAGAGAAAGGAAAATACAGAGATAGAGGGAGAGAAATGAAGGATTCCACAGATCCGAAAAAAAAAGAGAGAGAGAGAGAGAAGAAGGGAGAAGAAGAGATAGGGGAGAGAGAAAGTCTACCTTTAATTATGTTGATCAGTTAATTGCATACTCAATTGATTATTTAGTAATTTTGCAATTAATGTTATGCATATGGTAATTTTGCAATAAAAAGTGATATGTGTTGTATATGGTGTAATTTTCTCTAATATATTTGTGTATTGCAATTGGAATTTGTAGTTCTGCAAATTCAGTCTTCGGCCCAAGACTATAATGTAACTGGGAGCCCATTGTTAATCACTCCTTAAAGGCCATTTTACATGGTCCATATTGACCCATAAATGAAGTGATTTGGTCAACCATTAATCACCACATCATTAACAATCACTTAATTAACACTGACATGAACTACACAGGAGCTCCCAACTAAATTTGAAGCTTGCAGGTTCATCAAAACCACCATTTTTGACTTGGAACTACATATATACAGCATAGAGATTTCAACATCCTTTTGAGGTGGAGGTCCTTCTATACTTTTATTTAACCCACTGCTTAAGAGTAAATTACATTTGTTAGATGGGAATTAATCATACATTAATACTTTTAGTATTGAGATGAATTAATATGTTATATAATGTATGCAGGGCGATGATTGAAAGGAAGATGAAGTGGATCGATCTTGCAGGTTGTGTGCTACGAACAAGAGTTATAGTTAGATATTTTTCGTGTAATTTTAGTTATAGTTATTTGCCTGGCAAAGATGTTGATTTAAGGATAAAGCCATTGCACTATGGATTGTTGAGTCGGAGAGCAAAAATGATCATACTATAAATTAAGAATTGTTGGGTAACCAAACAGTAAAATCAATTATTATACATACGACTTTAGTTAAAACCGGAAGAACCGTATACATGTAACCAAACACATATAAAGATAGACTAGCTGAAACTGAATGATGTCAGGGCAAAATGGGCTTTTGATATGAGCCATTAGATTCCCCCAACGTCAGAAAAAAGTGAAAAAACCATAATGTTGTGTTCCTAACTTGCTATATTAGAAAATAAAGAAAATTCTTTTAGATCCTCTGTTTTGCTCAGCTCTGCTCATCCCCAGATCTGTATTTTTTTCTTCTTTCCCATTAGATCTCACCATTTCTTCATTTCCCACTCTCAAGACCTCACAAAAGCTTTTTGCCTAATCCCATATTTCAATCGCCATTCGACCAATTCATGAAATAGATCTTAAAGATCCAATTTTAAGCAGCAGCCCACCATCATCCTCTTTCTCCCTAATTAATGGGCGCCTCACAGTCGGCTCAAATCCCATCTGAAGACGAGCAGCAAGAAGAAGAGGAAGACGAAGACGATGATGACGTGGAAGAAGACGACGATGACGTCGTTCGGCACAGCATTCAGAATGACACGCGAGATCCCGCCATGGTGAAGAAGATCCTGGAGCAGGAGCCGGAGATGCTGCCGTGCCACGCGTCGGCGTCCCCGCTCTCCCCGCAGCTCTCCACCTACGGCACTCCCCGGATGGGCCCGTCCATCAAGGTGTGGGACCCTTACAACGTCCTCGCCCCGCCTCCGCCCCTTCCCCCGCCGCCGACCCACTTCCGCAGCACCTTCTCCGGCGCCTCCGCGGCGGACGAAGACCGGGCCATCACCGAGGTCTACCTCATCAGCCACGGAGAGTGCCACATGAACCTGAGGCCCGATTTAATCGCCGGCCGTTGCCCCGAGGCTGCCCTCACGCCCAACGGCAAACGGCAGGCGCGGGCCCTGGCTGTCTTCTTGAAGTCGCAGGGAGTGAGGTTTAGTGCGGTGTACACTTCACCATTGGATCGGGTTCGGGCCACAGCCCTATCTGTTTGCCAAGTAAGCTACGGCTTTTGTATCTTAATATTGAGTTGTATGAGATGCAAATGGATATGTCTTGTTGTTTTCAATTCTATTTTCTACTAGCTGAAAGAATAGGATAATCACTCACTCAAATGTGTTGTACTTGGTTCAAGGCGCCTTGTGTTTTGGTATTGTGCTTATATATTACTCAAATTGGTGTGAATTGGCAAAAATAATTCATTGGAGCCAACTTTGCAACATGGGAACAACTGATAAAGAAGCTCAACTTCCTTCAAAGGAATAAAAAAAGGGAAGATATGAACAATGCCTTGTCATTGACGAGCATTTGGAAATTGAAAAGATGACTCAGTGAATAAGTATGCTTTTAGCTGTGGCCTGTGTGACTGAATATATCAAAGCCACCTGCTTTCTTTCAAAACTATTTGCAGTAGTATGTATCTTGTATCTGATTTCCAACCATGACAGTTGTAATACTAGTAATTCAGCTAGGGAGTTTGGAATTTATATATAAACTGAAAAAGCTTTGGCAATAATGGAGAAAAAAAAATCGTTGATCTGCAGGAGTTGAATTTCTCGGAGGAGGACGTAGAATCATCGGATGGTTTAACAGAGATGAGCCAAGGGCACTGGGAAGGTTGCCACAGGTCGGACATATTCACAGGTGAGATAGTAAGCATAATGGAGAAATCAGAGCCTGATTTTTGCGCCCCATCTGGAGAGTCCCTGAGGCAGGTGGAGTTCCGTATGGTTGAGTTCCTGAATAGCACACTCACATCCTTCCCCATCAAGTTGAGGCCCGATTTCTCCCCACCCGACCACCCGACCGAAAGCCCGATACCACCCCCCAACTGGGACTTGCTCCACAGGCACCGCCACCGCAAGAAATCCGGCAAGAGCCGGCTTCAGGTCGTCACAACTGGCGATAACGAGGCTGATGACGAGATGTCCCCTCGTGTCCCCATTGTCCGAGACTTGAGTGTTAGGACAACTAGTAACAACAATACTACTAATAATCACCATTTCATTGTGTCTACTTGTGTTGGGGTTTTCACTCACCCCACACCCATCAAATGCCTGTTGACCGGAATCCTCGGTTGCAGTCCGGCTATGTCCAACAAGATTTGCGTCGAAGATTCTTCGGTCACCGTGCTCCAGCATTCTTGGAAGCTCGGCTGGCAGATTAAGAGATTGAACGATACATCACATCTTAGGCTTCTCTGAATTCTTTTATAATTACATACTCAGACTGAGTGTTTTTCATTATTTATTCTACTCTACTTATTGTTACTGTATTTTGGGTTGCATGATTGATGGGTTGTCCATATTCCAGTGAGAGATTACTAGTTTGATACTGGAGTTTTGGGGCAAGCGGTCATGATTTCATTCTTTGTGTTTGTAGCATTAATTTTTTTAGTCTCTGCAGACATAATTTTCCTATCTGCAAGGGATATTTCAAATTGTTATGAAATTCTTGTTTTGTCATTATTCTTATCCTTTGACATTTTGAGTTGGAATTCATAAGACCACACTTTGTTGTAGCAGTGAAATTATAGATTATAATGTTGGCATTAGTTCATTACATGGTAGCAGCAAACCTGAACACATCACTAAGCAAGAGAAAAAAGACCTTTCTTTTATGGCATCAAAAGGGTTTTTATCTATACAACACATATATGAAGGGCAGTTGTGTTGTGATTACCAATTTGCAGCATATATATATGAAGGGCCTCAAATGTGCAGGCCAGTTCAAAGACATAAGGCACATATTAGTTCCCTTTAATTACCCCAATTCCAAGCCTAACTACTCATTTTTATTTTAATTTGTTATCTTAAACAGAGCCCAACTTAATGACATTGTAATGGATTGATATATACTGGCCATTTCATTACAATCTATTTATTTTTAAATTTTTATCAACTAAATTAATGGCCCACAGCCCACATCTCATTTTTTCCAAAAGACATGATTTGATATCTTAATTTTTTTCAAACAAATAACTAAAAACTATTGACCATTATCCTATATTGCTTCCCTAAAGCCATGCGGAATTTCATCAGTATCAATAAATTAACTAAAACAAAATCTCAAAATCTTTGACAAAATCACAAAAGTCGTGATACAACAATTTTTTCTTTCAAAAAGATATTAAAAAAAAAAAAGCAAGGAGAAAATTCAGTGAGCCATACAAAATCATTATCTTCAAAAATCAGAAAAAGCAAAAGAAAAATAATGAAAAGGAATAAAAGGATTTTAACAGCATCTCATACTCGCGCGAGTAAAGAAAACCGGCACTCGCCCACGTAGAGCCCACTTACGACAAATTGGGTAGTTCCGCAATTTCGATGCGTCAAATACCAATTCCGCTTCAACGGTCAAGATCAACTCGCTGCACTTTCAACACAAGAGATGATCACCGTCGATCCGTTCTTAATCATGGTCAGTGCTAAACCAACCCCTGGTTTAGTGTGTAGTGATTTCCCTCTTCCTCACTTGTCTTTTCTCTGATGATGAGATGAGTGTTTTTCAGCTTTAGCTTTTTAACATGACTGAGTGGGCGAGGGAGAGAGAGAGAGATAATGGGCTATTGAGAGCGAGAAACTGAGGGATTTTTGCTTTTACCCTTTATTGATGATCTAATATGGGTTTTTCACAGTAGTTTGACTGTTTGTAAAAATTGATTCTTTGAGTTGAAGTTTCTTGAATATGGAGTTTCTTATTCGATCTGTAGATTTTGATTGTTCTTGTTATTGAAGAAGGTCTTTAGTCTTCTTCCTAGTTGCTGTTCGTTACCTTTTTCTTTTATTTTTCGGGTTCTTTTTTTACTGTTCTACTCAGTAATCATCATCTCTTGATATTTGATGATGATGATGATGATGGTGGTAATAAATGAGTTCAGAGTTGTCTTTCTTTCTCTTATCCATTGATATTTTCAGCTCACGTAGGTCCTGGAGCATTTTCTACAGTGGCTTTCAGCTTTATTTTCTTTTTCCATCTTCAATTCTGTCAGATCTATTCAGTAAATCGAGTTCATAATTCAGAATATGGTGATTGAGTATTCAGATCCGTCTTAGCTTGGATCCATCTAAAGGAAAAACAAAAAACCCGCTTCCATTCCTTCTTCCAAATCCCTAAATTTACCTGTTTCCCCTTTTGTTTTCACTCCAGGGAAACACAAACATGTGTATACAAGTCGGGTCTTATGCTGAAATCATTTTGGGATCTTTTTCTCTTATCTTGATAAATAGCTCGTGAAACGGTAGTTTTACATTTAGACAGTATGTGTTTGCTCCAGAGTATGATGAATTACTTCCCAGAGGAAGTATTGGAGCACGTATTCGACTTTGTCACGTCTCATCGAGACCGTAATGCGGTATCTTTAGTGTGTAAATCGTGGTACAGTGTTGAGAGATTTAGTCGGGAGAGGGTTTTCATAGGCAATTGTTATGCTGTGAATCCGGAGCGCCTGATTGCTAGGTTCCCTAGGGTTAGGTCGTTGACTCTAAAGGGGAAGCCCCATTTTGCAGATTTCAATTTGGTACCTCAAGATTGGGGTGGGTATGTGTTCCCTTGGATCGAGGCCATGGCAAAGAACGGAATAAATCTGGAGGAGCTTAGGTTGAAGAGGATGGTGGTGTCTGATGAGAGCCTTGAACTGCTTGCAAAGTCTTTCCCCAATTTTAAATCCTTGGTCTTAGTTAGCTGTGAAGGGTTCTCCACCGATGGCCTTGCTGCCATTGCATCTAACTGCAGGTCCTGTTTTCACTTTTCTTTATTTTCTGTTAAAACAATTATTTTGTTTTTATTTTTCTTGTCTGTATTGTGTTGTAGCATTTTGCTTTCACGTATTGTTTCCTGATGTGGCCTTTGTCTATTGATACTTGTCTTGAACATTAGAATTATATGTTTCTTCTTAGACTTGAGTGATGGCAGCTGATATTGAGTTTGGAGTTGGTCCATTTGTTTGTAGTTGTTGAAATATTTTAGTGGGTATAAGTTGGATTTTGGGGTTGCTTAGGGTGGTTAACAAGTTCCTTACCCATAAACAGTCGATTGGATTAGATGTATGCTTCTGATAGGATGAGTTCTACTGTTGCCTTGAAAATGAATAGCCTTGACATTCCGTTTTGATGTTCAGATAGAGCTAGTAACCTGTCGTGCAAGTTATAGGTCTGTATTTTTGCTCTTATCAGAAGGAGATTTCATTTCATGACTGCGTATATTTGAGGTCTTGTCTGCTTTAAATGACATCCAACCTTTCTGGAACAGGTTTCTCAGGGAGCTTGACCTGCAAGAAAACGAAGTTGACGAACGCAAAGGTCAGTGGCTCGGCTGTTTCTCCGAAAATTCAAAGTCTCTCGTCACTTTAAATTTCGCATGCCTGAGAGGAGAAGTCAACCTATCCGCTCTCGAGCGACTGGTAGCGAGAAGTCCCAACCTTAGGAGCCTTAGGCTGAACCCTAGTGTGCCTCTCGACGCTCTTCACAAGATTCTGACTCAAGCCCCTCAACTGAACGATCTAGGGACCGGATCTTTTGTCCACGACCCCGATTCAGAGGCCTGCGGCAAATTGAAAAGCACTTTGGAGAAATGCAAGTCGATTAGAAGCTTGTCTGGTTTTCTCGACGTGAACCCACGATGCTTGCCTTGTGTCTACCCTGTTTGCACTAACTTGACGTCGTTGAACTTGAGCTACGCGCCGGGAATCTACAGCAATGAGCTGATAAAGCTCATTTCTCATTGCAAGAAATTAGAGCGTCTATGGGTCCGTCCGTCCGTCCGTTTTTCTTATTAATCAATCAATCATACCAAAAAAAATCTATCTTTTTTTGATTGAAAAAATCGGATTTTGCTTGCAGATACTAGACAGCATCGGGGATAAAGGGCTAAATGCCGTGGCCTCCACATGCAAAGAGCTTCAAGAGCTCAGAGTTTTCCCATCCGACTTATACGATGCAGGCGTGACAGAAGAAGGGCTCGTTTCCATATCGTCCGGATGTGCCAAGCTAAATTCCTTACTTTACTTTTGTCAGCAAATGACCAATGCTGCCCTCATCACTGTGGCTAAAAATTGTCCCAATTTCATCCGCTTCCGGCTCGCGACCCTAAACCCTACCATACCAGATGCAGTGACGAATGAACCTCTGGACGAGGGTTTTGGGGCTATTGTGCAGTCGTGCAAGGGGTTGAAGCGGCTATCGATCTCGGGCCTTCTAACAGATAAGGTATTCTTGTACATAGGAATGTACGCGGAGCAGCTGGAGATGCTGTCGATTGCCTTTGCTGGGGAGAGTGATAAGGGAATGGCTTACGTGCTGAATGGGTGCAAGAAAATGAAGAAGCTGGAAATCAGGGACAGCCCTTTTGGTAATAAGGCACTTCTTACGGACGTGGGCAAGTATGAGACAATGCGATCCCTTTGGATGTCGTCCTGTGAAGTGACGTTCGAGGCATGCAAGATGCTTGCCCAGAAAATGCCGAGGCTCAATGTCGAAATTATCAACGATGGTGATTCGGATGAGGGAAGCAGAGATGATGGGCATAGGGTGGAGAAGATGTACCTCTACCGGACCCTGGTTGGGCCTAGGAAGGATGCGCCCCATTTTGTGTGGACTCTGTAGGTTGAGCAGGCCCAGGCCCAGGCCCAAGCCCAAGCCCACCGTGTATGGTTACTGTAGCCCTGTGCCTTTATTTGTCTGTGTACTGTGTAAGCTCTCTCTAGTCTTTAGGCTGAAACTGTGCCTTTATTTGTCTGTGTACTGTGTAAGCTCTCTCTAGTCTTTAGGCTGAAACTGTATTATTATGCATTTCTAGCTTAAAATATGTTTTGTTTGTTGCAATTTGTGTTAAAGGTGGTTCGATTATTGGACCTTTCAATTTGTAACATAGGCAACTTGGCCATGTTCTGCTCAGTTTGGGTATGAGTAATGACCTTTGTTACACGTTTTTGGAATTAGTGGAGTTTTGATGGTTGATTTACATTACGCAAGTTAATTAATTAATTTTTTGATAGCTCTGGTGTGGGTGCCAGTGTATTAGGTGGACATAATTTTTGGCTGAAAAAGGTATTTTATATTTGGCAATACAAATACATATATTTGTCTCAACACTGGTTGCAGACCATGTTTAGGATTAAGGTATTGAGGTGTATGCAAAATATAAAATTTCCCCCCTTTATATATATAGATAGTTTTGTAGTTACATATTTATTGTTAAATTGACTGTTTAATGCCATTATAAGATAATTTAAAGTTTTACATTGGAATTCTATATGTTATTACATAAGTCACTTACAATTACAATTAAATGAATATAGTTGGAAACGAACTTATCAGTTATCAGTGTGTAAATTAGAAAAATGTTGATTTGATATAAATATCGAGACAAATATGTGTAAGGGGAATCAGCAATAGCGTGTGGACCATTTTTCCAATAAAGTTTGAACACGAAATCAAGAAAAATAGTAGCTCCCCCGAAAAATCACACGGTTAAGCAACTTGTAAGTGAAGATAGATTTTTCTTTTTTTTCCAAAAAAAAAGTCCCTCTATAAAACCCTCCATCAAGCTCCGCTCATAACATTCATTCATCACCATCTCAATTCTACCCCCAAAAAACTCAAATAAAAAATGAATACCCACAACCCGGAACCCGGATCCGCCAAGTACCCGGAAGTGCCCTCTTCTTCCTCCGAGAAATGGGGGACCCACGTGATGGGGACTCCGGCGGTGCCCACGTGTCACCCCAACAATCAAAAGGCCGCCCTTTGGGGCGCCGGCGACCAAAAGGAGTACCAAAACCACCACCAACCCTACATCCAATACACTCCGATCGAGAGGTCCGCCGGCGACGGGCCACTGGATTCGGTCCTCCACAAGTTCAACTCTTGGAGCGCCAAGGCTGAGTCCACCGCCCACAACATCTGGCACAACCGTAAGCACCTGCTGCTTCCACTCACACACACATACTTAAGGATTGTATTTTTATTTTCCCCCTAAATTGAAAAGAACAAAATAAATAAATAAACAAATAATTTTGGGTTTGGTTTTTTGATTGCAGTTAAGACTGGGTCATCGGTGTCTGAGGCGGCCTGGGGGAAGCTCAACCTTGGGGCGAAGACCATTACTGGAGGTGGGTTCGAAGCTCTGTACAAGCAAACATTCGCAACTTATCCAAACGAGACGCTCAAGAAGACTTTCGCGTGCTACCTATCGACATCCACCGGCCCAGTTGCCGGGACTCTGTATTTGTCCAACGTGCACCTTGCTTTCTGCAGTGATCGCCCCTTGTCCTTCACAGCCCCATCCGGACAGCTCACGTGGAGCTACTACAAGGTACTACTACCTTTATTATCATTTCATTATTAATGGTTAATTGATTGAATTGATTTTGGAGGTTGTGCTTATTTATTATATTTGAAATGATGTTTTAACTTGGGGGGGGCAGATATTGATACCTTTGCCCATGATTGGGAGCATAAACCCGGTGATCATGAGGGATAATCCGCCGAGGGAGAGGTACATACAGATTGTCACCACTGATGGCCACGACTTTTGGTTCATGGGCTTCGTCAATTACGAAAAAGCCAGTCATCATCTCTTTGAGGCCCTCTCCTCTTTTGCCGCACCTGGAATTCCAATGCCACAGACCTCAGAGCATCATTAATTGAGCTTGTTTTGCTTCTTCTGTATTATTCTATGTTCTTTTGGGATGTTTGTTTGTTAATATATTTGATAGTCAGCACTTGTTCTCAATAAAAGTTGAATGCTAGTATAGCTTTGATGCACTTGTTAATATATTTGATAGTCAGCACTTGTTCTTTTGTTAATATTATTCTATGCTAGCCTTCTTACATACATTTAGTCCTTACTAAACCTAGTCTCCATAGGCTAAACAGCAATTCTCAAAGACAAAGGACAAGACCATGTCCTGCATCGTATTCTTTTGCCCAATCATCACTCGTTAATAGCAACACCTTGGCATGTTAATTAAAATCATGTATCAAACAACTGCATAGCTCAAAAACAGAGCATATGAAACAAATTTTACAGTTTTGACACAACGTTAATGGATTTAACTGTTTCTATTTCCTACTAAAAGTGTGATTATAGTACTGACAAAACCGGGCACCCATGATCCTACCACGTAAGTGGGGATTGTAACAGTTGGTAAAAATGCAAGAGCTTTGATGCATGCATGATGGATGATTTGATCAACGCTTCCTCTTGCTTCCCTTGGCAGCACTAGATTTTGATGGGGTCGCAACCAGGTAGATGAACAAGACCACAAAAGATATAACCGAAACAAGAGATCCGTATTTTGCCAACACTCTCTGTGAGGAGTAAACGTCAAGTTAGCTCAAATGTAACAAATACTTGTAAACATAAATTACATAAACATATCGAGAATCCCCCACATTGGGAATCCACCAAATCAACAATTATGATGCTATACTGAGTATGAAATTCAAATACTGAGCTATTTNCAGCTAGAAACAAAACAGATGATACACAGAATAAAATGATTCATTTCCAAATCAAAGATAGTTAATAGTCTCACCTTAGCCTAATTCGTTTCAGGAGCCGCCACAGATCATTTCCAATGAAGAAAACAAGAAGTGAGAAAGATATTACTTAAACAAAAATTGAATGTAAAGCAGAAAGATGTGCTAAATTGCTAAAAAAGTTACCAAATCAAGCTTCTTCTCTTGTGGCCTATCAGCTAGAACGTCGAGAGGCAATATTGGAGTTGAATACGCCTCCTGAAGTAGTAATCCACTTAAAAACAGAGGTAGATTCAAAAGTATCATAAAAATAGTAAAACACAAGTCAAGTGACTTTCAAACCTGTAAGGCAGCCTTTGTAGGAACACGAAAAGTTATAAGTGCTGGTGGACCATAAAATAGAGTTTTCGTTTTCGCCTCCAGCTCAAAGGAATGTGATAGAACAGCCCCTCTGAGTAAAAAGGATAAAGAGATTAATAAGAGTAGGTGCAGAATAGCTGAAGTGAGGTTAGCCACTTGTCTTTCGTTCACAGATTCTTTGATGATGACTTACACATCAAGCCTTTCCCATGAAATTGAGGTGTTGCCAGTGATGACTTCGAATACCTCTGGAGACCAGCTATCATCATTGAGTGTTACATCATATGCAGTCCTGAACGGGTGGGGTGGAATAATTTTGCATTAGACAATCATTCCATGATGATGATGGTCGAATCAAAACAAGAGCTATCATGCAATTGACAATTAAACCTCCAAACTGTCCATTTCAAGGAGTAGCTCAAGATTCTCTACATTTGTAAACTGTGATAACGTCAAAAGATATTGACGAAAACAGAAGTACAAATTAACTGCTAATATGTGCAGGTACAAGATTAGTTCTTTCCTTTACCGATTGAAAGCGAGGCTTGGTTTTATCGAATATGTGGTTGGATCAGCTAGAGAAAGGGTGAATTCTGATTTCTAACAGAAGAACTATAACTAGTGCATCAACATATATCTGCATTCTCATGTGCTCAACCAATTCCGGTGGTAATTACGTATATATTCCAGTCTCCAGAATGGATTGCTGTTGACAATCGAATTCCAAGTATTCGGTCAACCCTAGCGTTCTTGAGCAAAGATAAAATTTTTACACCTTGAATAATCCCAATGAGAAAATTGAATCAAGAATGTGAACTGACACAACTGCTTAACCAAATCTTATCTCACTTTTCAAAACTCTAAATTTGAGATAACTCCAAAATTAACTACTTAATGCATTTATTAAGTAACCATGATAATAAAGCAGTTATGACAAATAGCAATCGAAAAGGAAATTATAGCAAACAAAAGGAAAATACCATAAACCCATCATATATACAATCGAAAAAAGCAGATCTAACTGAAAAAAAGGCGAAGGGAAAGTATAGCATACGCGGATCCTTGATTGTACACGTCAATGGAGACGGAGACACGTTCGGAGCCGGGCTTCAGCCGGGTCAGCGACGCCTTCTTATGGGCCACGATAAAGGGGCCATCGGAGATGGCGATGAGCGATGCGGCGAATAACAGAGCTGCCAGAACACAAATTGCAGGTCCGATGATCAACTTCGCCATTGCTGAACAGAACGACGGCGTTTCCGAGGTGCAGCTTGGGAATTTGGAGATTTAGAGCGTAACGAAGAGATTGAAGTAATTAGGGCTTCTTTATTGTAATTCCGATTACTTGTACAGTGATGACAAATAGTGTAATACTAACAGCATCTTTAATCGGTAAGATGTATATACCTCACTTTTTACATTACCAATAGTCCGTATCATCTCAAGCTCATTCTTACTCCCAATATTACAAACTTCCAATAACTCTAAACCTCACAAACCTTTTTTTAATGGACCCCATATTTCTCACTTACTTTAATTTATATATCAATTTAATTCATATGTACTAAAAATACTAATAATTTTTTACAATGACATATTTATTATATATCATAATAAATATATTTTACGTACAATTAAAATTAAAAAATAATAATAACAAGTGAAATTTATTACACATAAACCTTACAATAATATAAAAAATAAAAAATTACATACCGACAAAAATAAAAAAAAATAATAAGAAAATTTGATTACACATAATAGCTAAATCAATAATATATATGTTTATTTAGTTCTCAATATTTTATTGAAAAAGATGGACAAAAATATAGTATAGATCAAATTTAATAAATGAGTGATGGCTTTTAAATGTGGGCCCAATACTAGTCACGCCAATTCATGCGGCGAGTTACAATTAAATTTATTTTTGGCTTTGAAAAGTATGCTTGTACTACACTTGCTTTCTTATTTAATTCTATAGCTCTATGTTTGCAACACGGGGTTAAGAAATCAAACCTACACCCTCACCTTTCTAATGGTAAATGCTATCAGTGTGGCGTTTCCAAACCTAATGAAACGCGCCCGTTAAAGTTGTTCTAAGAAAGAACTTGTAAATGATGATTTGCCGTAGAGAGAGAAATGAGCCGCTCGTTTATGATTGGTTGAGGCTCCAATTTAACACTTATTAAGGCGTGAAAATGAAAATTTATGCAAGTTTTTATTGTAAAACTCTCGAGTTCGACTCTTATTCTTGATGAACAAGTCAAATTCGAACTCATTTAGTTAACGAGTTGAGCTCCACTCGACTCGATAAAGACTTAAGTAGGGGCTCGGCTTGTTTATACTTCATACATCTAGCCATGACAAATAGACGATTTAGGTGAAATTGAAAATCAAAGTTAAATAAAATTAGGTGAAGTTATCCAACATTATATTGATGTCTATTTCCCTTATGATATTTTTGCGATTGGTCTAAAAAACCACTTGATACCCTTATGTATTTGTTCTTTAAATATTTGAATAAGAAGTTGGAAATACAAAAATCACTAAGGGTGAAATGATATTGATTTTGGGGCTCATATCATTGGTTAAAATTGAATCTTCTATAAGGATTTGAAGCATGATGTACAAGGTTGATTAATCAGATGGAATTTGGTGACATTCGTGATTTGATTATCTTATTTTCTAACTAAATTTGTATTAAAAAAATATTGGATGTATACGCAACAATCCTGGTTAAGCATGCATTCAACTTTTTAGCATCATTTGTGCCAGTCTTTCATCTAATTAATTTGTTACTTCTTCCAAAATACAATACATAGACGGGTACAGAGGCATAATACATCTTAAAATTTGTAAATAATCATACGACTCATAAATATAAAATCAATATAAACTTCAATCAATATATGTTTGTATTATAAAGAAAATATAGAATTAAGTATCTCAATTAATTTTAACTTCAATCATACAGAAATAAAATCATATAAATAACCACATATGGCCATGACTCATAACTATGTTAAAAAACATGTTATAAACTTAAATAATCAACCTTTTTTTTAAAAAAAAAAAATTATATAAATAACCACGTATAAACTATCTTATGATTCATAAATAAGAAAACATGTTAACTAAAAATAATCAACCATTTCCTTTTAAATAAACCAGTTTATGAAGAATAGTATAAATACGATACATGTTTAATACATATACCTAGTAATACGTTAGCTTCATAGAAGGTCCGTCCCATATCATCTTAAAGATGAATAAGAACAACTGAAAATTAATAAACCTACGGCATTAATTAACTACTTGAAAAAACTCTAGGCTTTATTTAAGCAGGTAGCTCTACTGGCTATGGGACTCACTGAATACTAGAAAACAAAAAATTTTCTCAACTAATAAGCCAAAAGAGAAAAAATAGTTTGCCATAAATACACCCGAGTGCACACCTAAGATGCATTTAATATCATCACAGCAGAGAATTATCAGATTACACAGTACCAAAGCCCTAAAAGCAAAACACAAAGACAAAAAACAATAAACTAAAAAGTAAAAACAGGCTTAGGTAGTAATAGAAATTAATTCATCACAACTTTTTCAAATGCCATGGGAATATGCCTGAGATTTGAGCTTATGAGCAGACATGATTGTGAGTAAAATCAAGCAAATGAGAGCCACAAAAGATGATGCAATTGAGGCTATAATCTTGTCGCAAAATTTGGCCACACGATCACAAACCGGCATCCACCCCGTTTTGCTCTGCCCATATCGCCCCACGTACCCAATCGCCATTGCAGCCGAGATTCCGGACAATAACAGAACCAAACTCAACTGCATTAAATATCATTTACCACATAGATATAATTAGAATCTTTTTTACGTAGCAAATATCGATTCGTAATTGATTTAAATTTCAACTTTAAATCAACTAATATCGTGAACAAAAATGGAAAACTTCATAATATACATATTTATTATTGATGGCAAAGTAATTCAATGGATTTGATTTCTTCTAACAAAAACAATATGTATATTTTTTCCAAGTCATAATTTAAACAACAACATACGCAAAAGCACGGGACATTTTATAGTATAAGTGTGCTTTTTTTTTTTATAAGAAGATATGGCAAATCGATTTGTCTAATGATTAGACTGTCTCACGCAAGAATTTGTATGTAATAATTAATTAACTTATAATAGTATGATTATTTTACCATGTCATGCAAGAGCAAATAGAAGTAATTCTTGGGATTTGATCTTGAACGATTGAGTGAAATAACAAGAATCACCGACAGCACAGTGAGCCCGCATGATACACAATTTGCAACCAGATTGAACCTGCCAATGATAAAATATATAAATAAATTAATAATAACTATTTTATTTTTTTATTCGAAACAAAACAAAATGTAATATAAAATGAAAATTTGTGACCTGAAAGAAGATGAGTAACTATAGCGGGCCTCCATTGCAATCCCGAAAAAGCTCACTGTTTGCTGGCTTGTGGCCATGATAAGCGCACCCCCCAGCGTAAATGCAATTACCAGGATTCTGAGGACCAATTGTGCAAAATAGAAAAACCTTTTGGAAATCTTGCTGCCAGTTTCCTGTTTGGGCATCTCAATAAGGTCCATAGTTGATTGATTTTCTTATGGTGGTGAAGATGATTTTTGAGAGAGAAGAAAAGTGACCAAGTGACTTTGCCCTTTGTGGATATGTCCTTAAATAAATAAAGCATGCAGCAGATAAAAAATGGAGAAGATACAAAGCAGATTTAGAGTGCATATTTATTGTAGATGGCCTAACGGGGCCATCTCAACTAATTAAAATTTGACAAAAAAAAAAAGATTCTTAGAAGAAAAATAAAAATAAAAAAGTCAAACCTTTTCCTCTAATTAAAGAGACAAAATCACCTAAAAATTGGGTTCACGAATTGATGTATTTATATTAGAATACAACATATCGATACATTATTTATATATACTTAATTATGGATAATTTATAAGTCGTGTTTCTGATTGTTTTATAGCAAAACTGAAATCCAACATCTCATCGTATTGAATTTAGGTAAAACATAATAATGCGTGCTAATGAAATATTTTTGTTGGACAGTCCTTGAATTTAAAGGCATCCTGCTGAGGGTTAAATGTCCTATTATTCGTATTAACATACCTTTAAACAGTATAAACTAGTAATTAATTTCTTATAGAATTGGACATATACTGCATAATATAGTGCATTATGCATGAGCAGAAATGTAGAATTATAATATTGAAACCAAACAAAGGATACTCATAAAACCAAATTATATAATAATACTATAAAGGTGGCCCGTGACGGGATAAAGGTAGAAGTGTTTAAGAGTCTAGTGATCCATCTCAATCACTTGATTTTCACAATTAATATGTTTTGAACAGAAGGTGTATTTATTAAAATTTGGTATGATCTTAAGGCACAAAAATAAGCCCGTGCATTGATTGTACAACTACAAAATCCTGCCATATTTGCACAATTTCATATTATTCATAACCAGCCTTCCACGATCAAACAAATTAAATAAGTCGAACTTACGAGTGACTCATTTTGTTTAACAGCCGATGAGGATCTTTATTCTACTGAAATTCGTGTTTTTCTTGTCATTATTAATCTACAATTATTGATTATTTTCAATTTTTTTAATAAGATAATTTATTTATTGTAATGAATTTTCACCAGCTTTTATATTTCTTTCCTTCAATAAGTAGCTTAATTTTTTTATTTCAGCTGGTATAAATTATATGGGTTTACCAATGGGCTGGATCAATGTGTGCTACTAAAGTGGGCTCAAATTTTGGACACAGTTGACAATAAATAGACTGTATACTCAAGCAGCAACAATCATAGGCAATTGGGCATATGCAATCTTTTTCCATAAGACTAAAATAGAATGTCATTACCAAAAAACAAAAGAAGAATGTCATTACTTTACTTGCATCTTTTTTGCTTTTTATAAGGATGGTGTGCTAATCCCACTTTCCAGTGATTGGTCTTATTACCAATTATTTTTCTGGTCATCAACGCAGAAAATCAGACCACAGCACATGCTTTAATAATTTAATTTGGTATTTCCTCAATCTGTCATTTTTCTGACTAAATAAATTAACAAAAGTAGGCCTTCCACATGCCCTCGTTGACCAACGTCAGACGAAAAAAGTGAAATTATCCATGGCCGGCGCCGGAGCTAGACCTTTCTCCGTCGGCATCTCGCCGTTGAACCCCAGCCGGAACAAATATCTCGTCGCAGGGAAGCTTCGACCAACCCCAAAACCCAATCTTTCGGTTCTTGCATCATCCGCGCCCACAGAAAAGCAGTCGCCGCGGCAGGCAGCTCCAGCAGGCGTCGCCGTAAACGGCGTCGTTCGACCGAAGCCGTCGGCCGAGGCGCCGCCAGGAGAGCAGGCGACGGAGCCGCAGAACGGGGAGTTGACGTCGAAAGATTACTTCGAGCAGTCGGCCGAGCTGATTAGCAGATCCGACGGCGGACCGCCCCGGTGGTTCTCGCCTTTGACCGACGGTCAACGGCCAGGAAATTGTCCTGTCCTGCTCTCTTTGCCTGGTGAGTTTTATTTTCGTTATTATATTTGTTGTATATTCACTTGTTCTACACATAATAGCTGCTGTTCACGGACAGAGTAACTATATGAACGGTATGTTTGCGTTATCTGTTATTAAATCAGTCGAACTTATTATGCGTACCAATTTTACCCGTTAATTTATTATATCATGAGAATCCTGTTCAATAACCTGGAGTAGGTTTAATATTCTCCTCAATTAAATGAGGAAGGTATGTATCTTTAGTAAGAAAAATAAGTTTTCTGATTTTTCAGGGGTTGATGGAGTTGGACTTGGACTATTATTGCACCATGAGAGACTTGGCAAGTAAGTTTCCTTTTTGTGCTCAGATATATATTGAAGCATCATCACATTTATCAGTAGTCATATATTAAAAACTAAAATAAATGGTCTGATTTTTGTTTTTGTCTCTGTGTGTGTGTGTGTGAAGGATTTTTGATATATGGTGCTTGCACATCCCCTTGGCTGACCGAACGCCATTCGCAGGTTAATCTTGATTTCGGTTTTCTTTGGCTAGTCCAAATATAGAAATTTTGCCTATTTAGTAACAAAAGTGCACTAATTCAATTTTCCATATCTCAGAACTAGTGAAGCTTGTTGAAAGCACGGTGAGGTTAGAGCATTCACGTAACCCAAACAGACCAATATATCTTGTGGGTGAATCTTTCGGAGGATGCCTTGCGCTTGTTGTTGCTGCACGTAACCCAGATATCGACCTCATACTAATCTTGGCCAATCCAGGTAGTTTTTACTTTTAATCATTTGCTAAAAAAAAAAAAAAGTCATTATAATGTGCATGCTGATTTTAAACAGTAAAAGCTTTTATCTATTTAACTTCCTATTGGCAGCTACATCTTTCAGCAGATCCCAGTTGCAGCTACAAACTCTTTTACCGTTGTCAGCGATATTGCCCGAGCAGCTCTTTCACGGCCTGCCTTATTTGCTTACTCTACTGACAGGTTATATATTTTTTTATTTTTTGTTTTTTGTTTTTTGGGTCCCTTTTGCATTTCAATATTAGTACTTCATATCATTTTTTGTCTAATTAGGTGCGCCACTAAAGATGGTGGCAGAGGCTACCAGCAAAGGTCTTCCTTTGGAACAAGTGATTAGGAATCTAACTCAGGAGACTATGGCAATGTTGTCCAATCTTTCTGTAAGATTCGTACCTTAACATGATGACTCTCTGTGTTTTTAGTTTAATTCTACATGAAAATTCATTTATATTTATGCTGAAGACAGGCCATGTCCGATTTATTAACTCTTGAAACAATTCTCTGGAAGCTTGATTTGCTGAAATCGAGCTCATCATTCGCCAACTCACGTCTTCATGCTGTGAAAGCTCAAACTCTAATACTTGCTAGGTTTTGTCTAACCTAGCTCATATTTTCGAGATGAAGTTGTATTTTATCATTTAATTTTTCATTAGCATTGTTCTTATTGCCACGGTGGCTGATTTTTTACTTTT